ACCACTACCCAACGAGCTTGAAGGAGCTGCTGTAGTATTTAGAATTTATTTATTCACATAGAAAATCCTTGAAAAACTCATTTGTTTATGTGAAATGTAAAATGGCTTATAAATGAAAACCCACAGTGGGAGTGGATATAAAAGTTAAAAAATTTCAGTAGAAACAAAAAGAGAAATTATCCTAAGCTATAAAATAGTAGTCATGAGGACAAGTTACGTGTCATTTTAGTGTTCACACACCAGGGATGTTGAGACACCCTCAAGATGTGTTCCCTTCTGTCAAATCTAGTCCATTACTGGTCTCCTTGACAAGGAAGGTCATGGGTTTGGGGTCACAGGTTTTTGAGAATAATTTCTTCGACCAGTCACCAGCCGTATGACTTTGTTCAACTTACCTATCTTTCTTCAGTTTCAACTTTCTTATGTGCAAAATAGTTAAGTAATATATATGTTTGGAATTGAAGATTATTAAATTAAATCAAAGAATGTCAATAATGTTACCTCACTTATTCCTATCTACACTACCCTCACCTGTTTCCCAATTATTTACAAAATTTTATCTTTTACTTGGAGAAGACTCTTGAGAGTCCCTTGGACTGCAAGGAGATCAAACCTGTCCATCCTAAAGGAGATCAGTCCTGAATATTCATTGGAAGGACTGATGCTGAAGCTGAAACTCACACTTCAGTTGTGAGGAACTGACTCATTAGAAAAGACCCTGATGCTGGGAAAGATTGAGGGCAGGAGGAGAAGGGGACCACAGAGGATGAGACAGTTGGATGGCATCACCGACTCAATGGACATGAGTTTGAGCAAGCTCTGGGAGATGGTGACGGACATGGAAGCCCGGTGCACTGCAGTCCACGGGGTCACAAAGAGTCGGACACGACCAAGTGACTGAACAGCAACCAATTCTTTACTTGATTATGCTATAATCATAAATTAATTAATTGTAATGAGACATTTAAAAACAAGTCCAGGCCCATAGAACAGCTTTTACTCTATTTATTTATCTCTGTGATTATTCTAATATCTTCCTGTAATTCTGGATAAACTTTTCAAGGTCTTTCATTACTATCACTTAATGGAAAAAGAGAAATAAAAAGATAAAAGTCTTACAGAATATCAGTAGTATATCATATAAGAAAAAATATCTAAAATCTGCATCTAAATATAATAAAGCTACAATTATACTTCAAAAGTCAAAGAAATTAAGGCTTCTCTGTGACATATTATTAAGAAAATGAATATTTTAATAACTCCATTAGACTCATGAATTCATGATGGTGTACATTCTGTTGTAATTTTAGATTAAAATAGCATGAAATACTTTCTTGTAATAATTTGAAATTCACTTCCATGTGTAAAACAGGCCCAAAGACAGAATACTGAATCCAGCTTTATCAATACAAGATGAAACACAATAAAATTTTCTTTTTTCATTAAGGATTAGTTTAGAATGCTGATGACTAATGCCAAATATAATAAAAATTATCAGTGTATCTCTTCTTTACTTTTGAATAAGCTGTCACTTGGAGTGATTTCAAAATAAATAGCAAATGGACCCCCAGTACTAAAATAATGAGATAGCAATCCAACTTTCTAGGCAAATATATAATGCCATTTTCCAATAACAGAAGAGAGCTAAACAGCAATGGAATTAGATTTCCCTAGCAATATATGTCATTCAAATCTATTATTCATTTTGTGCCTCTCCCAGCACATAGAGGTATACTTAAGATTAGAGTCCACTGGATAATTTAAAATTCATAAAGTTTCTTGAGCTTTGCAGACTAAGGTGCTATATAAATATTAAATAGCAATCATCATGATAATGATGAAATTATTATTCTAATCTTCATTTTGCACATGCTGCAAGTAATTCTCAGCCACTTTATCACTTGGTTAGGTGCACACACACACAGCCAGAGAGGTTCTAGGGCTATGGAGTCCCCTCTGAAATCTAGGGGAGTTCTGTAATCAATTCAGCTCGGCAGGACGCTGGGGAGCGGGGCGGGCAACAAAGAAACATTGTGCTATAACACTGAATAAAATCAAAGCAAATAACGAAAACAGTTCAACAGTTTCAAAGATTAAAAAATGAGATGACTGCTATTTTGCATTAAAGAAATAAAATTCTAAGTATTATTTCATAGGGAAAATAAGCACAAAAAGAATAGCTTTTTAAAAATAGCTATACACTTGCATGAGGAATGAAAACTTTCCATTCTTTTAACTATAACCTGAACATGTTCATTTATGCTTCTTGCAAGTTCCTAAAGCTTATTTTGGATGTGAAAATATCTTTCCTGTATCATATTTTAAAATCCTCTTTGTGTCTGCTAAAATTGGTTCTGGTAATGGCTCTGAAAAGGTAATAGATTGTATTTAAAAAGACAGCCTTCTGCATTACTGAGAACTACATTAGCACCTGTGGCCAAGAGAATCATAAAAATGGATGCCTTCAGAAAAGATGTGATAAAGTGGATTTCCTTATAATTAGAATAGTGGAAACTACAAATATGTTCATGCTTAATATTGAAAATATGATGCAAAATTCAAGGAAAGGGATCTTTTTGAGTTGCTATTTATACGGCTTAAAAGCTGTCTCTTCCCTAAATTTATCCTCAAACCCATACTTAGCTCAGAGATGGAAACCATATTTATAGAAACAATCTTCTTGAGATTCTTTAAGATAAGAGGGCACTAACCAACACCTACAAATTTATACTTTACTCAGCCAGCCAGTAACCATGGAAACAGATTGACCACTTACACAGAGCTAGCCCTTGTGAATTCAACACTGCCTCTGTCTTGAAAACTGCTAACAATGTAATCTGATTACTTTGTGTAAGAATGTATTATCATTCAAACAACCAACCAATCAAGAACGTATATTAAAAAGTTCTTACATTATTGTATAAAAAGGCTCAAGGCACGTCTAACGGTAAAAGTTTAACAAAATCTTTTCCACAGAATCTTCTTTAACCGGAGGAAGATAGAGTTGTTGCATCAATAAGCCTCTTGATTATGTGCCGTCTGCCCGTATTGTTACCCACACATCATTCTTCTGCGCATCCTCCAATTTGCAAATTCCACCATGCATATGTCCTTTATATATCACTTCACATTACCCTCCGCCTCCATGTAAATGTGTTCAAGCAATGACTATTGGTAACTTTGACAAATGAAATGTCTTTGATGTGACAATTGCCTATTTTATTTAATATTATTATTATAAATAATCAAGTATTCCGTTTGAGATTTTGGCATATCTTACAGCTTAAAATGAAATCTCACTTATAGTATTAATATTGAATCTCCCAACAGCTCTGACAGAAAGATATCCTTAAACAGAGAATTTTGCTGATTAAACAGAGAGAATTCAAAGAGTTCAAATACAGTTCAGGCATCTATTGTTGTTCACGACCCCATGGACTGCAGCATGTCTGACTCTCTTTCCCCCACTATCTCCTGGAGTTTATCCAAGTTCATGTCCACTGAATTGGTGATACCTTTCCAACCATCTCATCCTCTCTAGACCTCTTCTCCTTCTGCCTTCAGTCTTTCCCAGCATCAGGGTCTTTCCCAATGAGTCAGCTCTACACATCAGGGGGCCAAATTACTGAAGCTTCAGCTTGAGCGTCAGTCCTTCCAACGAGTATTCACAGTTGATTTCCTTTAAGAGGGATGGGTTTAATCTCTTTGCTGTCCAAGAGACTCTCAAGGGTCTTCTCCAGCACCACAGTTCGAAGTCATCAATTCTTCTTCCGAAATCAATTCTTTGTCACTCTGCCTGCTGTCTTGTCCAGGTCTCACAGCAGCACGTGACTACTGGAAAGACCACAGCTTAGCTTTGACTATCGGGCCTTGGCCAGCTGAGTGGTGTCTTTCCTTTTAACACACTAAGTTTATCATAGCTCTCTTGCCAAGAAACATCTTACCCAAGGTAAAAGTAAATCAATTTTAAAAATAAAGTTTGTTAATGGTTGAGTCAAGATTTAAACACAAATCTTTTGACCTTAAATCTGTCCTTCATTCTGTACCTTTAAGTATTCAAATCCCAGTTAATATCCTAAGACAACTAAACTTTTCTGATTTACCATGTTTACCAAAATATCAAAGTTTCTCTGTACATTTAACTCTCATCGTACTTCATTTATTCTTCTTGTTTTGTCTGTGGTGATTAGAAAATGTTTTATTGTGGATTGAGCTATGTAATCAAATATCAAAGATCAAAAGAATATAACAAATAGTATTATCAAATGCAATTCTCTCTTTGTTGTTACCAATCTCCTATATATATATATACATAATATATATGTACATATACATATATATATATATATCCTCTGTACTTTCTGCCTGTGATAATGAAGCTATAATTGACATATTGGAAAAGTTAGTTCCTTAGTATTTCTACAAAACTATAAATTGAGTGTTTTTATTTTCACTATTAAAAAATTTTCAAAACACAAAGATAAATAAAATACTTGCTTCAGTTTTATTGAAGAAGAAAAATTTTTAATTAAATTGTATCTTATTCATATTTTGTTGTTTATAATGAAGAATTCATTCAGGATAAAGTATAGCCTAAGGCATTTAAACAAATACAGTAAAAAAAAAAGTCCCTTTAGTATTCCCCCACTATTACTATAAATTCCTATACACTGTCAATCAAAATTCTTTATTACCCTGGCATATGGCTTATAAATTTTATTTTATTTTATGTTTCTCACCTGTTTCCATGTAACTCATGAAAGGTAGAGACATAAGTTATTTAGTATAGCTGTACAATCACAGCACATATTGGGGCACTTGACATTCAATAGAGCCTATTATACAGAGTGAGGTAAGTCAGAAAATGCAAGAGAAATATTGTATGCTGATGCATATGTATGGCATCTAGAAAGATGGCTCAGATTAATTTATCAGCGGGGCAGCAATGGAAAGACACACAGGGAACAGACTTCTGGAAGGGGGAGGGGAGGAAGGAGAGGCTAGATGTAGGACAGAGTAACACGGACGCTCACATTGCCACATGTAAAGTAGGCAGCCGGTGGGAAATTGCTGTCTGGCTCAGGAAACTCAAACAGGGGCCCTGTGTCAACCCCGAGGGGTGGGGTGGGGAGGGAGCTGGGAGGAGGATCAGGAGGGGGTGTATGTGCACCTATGGCAGATTCTTGTTAGCGTTTGACAGAAAACAGCGAAATTCTGTAAAGCAATTATCCTTCAATTAAAAAGTAAATTAATTAAAAATTTTAAAACCTTATGAATAACTTAGTAATATGTTGTAGGTGTTAATTAAAGCCAAAAGATATCCATGAGGTTGAGATTACTTTGAAGTCTATAATAGATTATCTATAAATATGTATTTAATGTATGCAGACTATAAATATATATGCATATATATGTTTGATATGAGGAAAGATATCTCCCTTGATACTGTTTAAATAAGTAAATTTTTCTTGGAATAGTATTTTTCAGGCTTTTTTATAAAGCTGAGATTTGAGAAACAAAGAATTTTAGAAACCTTAAGGTATATCATTACAAGTTAATTACAACTCTGATTTATATTAAGCCAGAAGTAAACTGATCCCACATGTCAAGTGAGTCACTTTGAAAACACTAAGAGTATATTAAAGGAAAGGGAAACTACACTAAGTGGTTCATGCTGCTCTACAAAACTTCATTTTTCACAGTGGAAAAATTTATTTCCTCCAAGAGAATGACTTACTTGTCAAAGGCTCATTATATTACCAGATATATTTAGATTGGACCCAGGCATAGAAATATGGTCTAAGAACTTAAGTTTACAGAAACTGCATCTTCCATACCCAGGCTCCTTTACAGAGAGACCCTTAAAAACAAATAAAAACTATTCTTATCACCTATGATATAAAACCAGAATAGATGTTGAAAATATATTAAATCATTTGAAGCATTTTCATTATTTAAAAAGAAAATAAGACATTTTTGTGATTTTTTAAAAATGTTTTAACAGCATATTAGCTATTACTGCATAACAAATTTTCACATAGCACTTTAGAATCCATTTATTATTTCTCTATTATATAGGTCAGAAGTTTGTGTGAACATCATTGCATTCACTACTTAAGGTTTCACAAGCCTGAATTCAAAGTGCATACTGAGCTGGCTCTTATCTGGAAGCACAGCGAAGAATTCACTTCCAGGCTCATTTAGGTAGAATCTAGTTCATGTGGCTGTAGGACTGAGGTTCTTTTTCCTTAGTAACTATCATCCAGGAGTGGCTCATGGTTTTAAAGGGCACAATTTGCTCCTCTGTCTTCAAAGGCAGCAATGGAGAACTGATTATTTCTCTGTGCTTTGATTCTCTCTTACTTTCAGGTGGAAAACTTCTCTGCTTTTAAAAGGACTTTTCACATGACTAAATTGCACCTGGCAAGAAAATTTCCTTTTGTCGTAAACATAACATAATCAAAGAAGGGTGAAAGTCATGGAGGCCATTTTAAAATTCTGCTTACCACAAATAGGTGTTAAAATCTTAGCAGGTAAAAGAGAAAGTGATTTTTAAAATGTTGTTTTTAAAGAATAATAGGTTTAGTTTAAAATAAAGCCCAATGACAGCAAAAATTTATTAATAACAATTTTAATTATGTGCAAATTTTCAGCATACAATATATACACAACATACAAATGATAATGGCTTTATAGTAAAGGTTTTGAGGATATTAATCTACATAACTGCTAACCTAAGTACATCATCTAAATTTTACTTCACAATATGACAAGAAATAGTGTGGATAAAATAGAAAATTAAAAATTATTTCACCATATAAATTTTAAACATTATTTGAAAAGTGTCCAGTAATCATCTTGATAAATTTAATAGATGTTGAAAATATATTAAATCATTTGAAGCATTTTCATTATTTAAAAAGAAAATAAGACATTTTTGTGATTTTTTAAAAATGTTTTAACAGCATATTAGCTATTACTGCATAACAAATTTTCACATAGCACTTTAGAATCCATTTATTATTTCTCTATTATATAGGTCAGAAGTTTGTGTGAACATCATTGCATTCACTACTTAAGGTTTCACAAGCCTGAATTCAAAGTGCATACTGAGCTGGCTCTTATCTGGAAGCACAGCGAAGAATTCACTTCCAGGCTCATTTAGGTAGAATCTAGTTCATGTGGCTGTAGGACTGAGGTTCTTTTTCCTTAGTAACTATCATCCAGGAGTGGCTCATGGTTTTAAAGGGCACAATTTGCTCCTCTGTCTTCAAAGGCAGCAATGGAGAACTGATTATTTCTCTGTGCTTTGATTCTCTCTTACTTTCAGGTGGAAAACTTCTCTGCTTTTAAAAGGACTTTTCACATGACTAAATTGCACCTGGCAAGAAAATTTCCCTCTTGTCGTAAACATAACATAATCAAAGAAGGGTGAAAGTCATGGAGGCCATTTTAAAATTCTGCTTACCACAAATAGGTGTTAAAATCTTAGCAGGTAAAAGAGAAAGTGATTTTTAAAATGTTGTTTTTAAAGAATAATAGGTTTAGTTTAAAATAAAGCCCAATGACAGCAAAAATTTATTAATAACAATTTCAATTATGTGCAAAATTTCAGCATACAATATATATACAACATACAAATGATAATGGCTTTATAGTAAAGGTTTTGAGGATATTAATCTACATAACGGCTAACCTAAGTACATCATCTAAATTTTACTTCACAATATGACAAGAAATAGTGTGGATAAAATAGAAAATTAAAAATTATTTCACCATATAAATTTTAAACATTATTTGAAAAGTGTCCAGTAATCATCTTGATAAATTATGTTGAGGTAAATTTTATATGTAAGACAATCTAAAAGGAAAAAGCAACTTGAAAAAAAATGAAATTTAAATAGATTATATGTTGACTTCCTATAAAAGGTGTCACCCCATATAAAAGATGTCAGTCATTTTTTGCTCATTTTCCTCTTAGTACTAAAAACAATCAATAAAATTTAAAAATAAATGAAAAGAAAACTACCTTTAAGTATGCAACAGACACTATCTGCAATTAACATAGTGTGATCATCTACATAATGGAACAGAGTATGGTCCGCACGGGAAAACAACAGTTACCATGTATGCCAGCCAGGATGTCTGGCAGGATGCATTATTCTCATATACAGTAATTCGCTCTCGTTTCAGTCGCTAAGTCGTGTTCAACTCGTGTGCGACCCCGTGGACTGCAGCCCCAGGCTCCTCTGACAGTGGGTTTCCCAGGCAGGAGTGCTGGAGCGGGTTGCCATTTCCTTCCCCAGGGGATCTTCCCGACCCAGGATCCAACCTGCAGCCCTGCACTGGCAGATGGATTCTTTACCACGGAGCCTCCTGGGAAGCCCGATGTTACCTAACTTAAATGTAACCATTTTCAAATTTTATCAATTATGCAATTTAAATAAAATAACTTTTGTAATCCTTAAAACCTCCAGTACCACTCCTGTTCTTAAAGCCACGTGACAAACATTAACAGGCCAATGGCAAATTTAGGAAAGATTCCCACTGTGTTCTTAGGAAAAGTGGAGAAGAGGTGATTCAGGTCAGACTGCTGTCCTGGTCGCTTTCTGTGACTCTGCCTGAATTCAGCAGAGATCACGAGAACTGGAGGAGTAAAAGAGAGAAACCACAGACGCCACCCGGCTCTGACCAGCGTCCCGGCAGCAGATCAGCAAGCACAAAAGCAGTGGCTCAAAACGCTGCGACTGTCCCATCAAATCAAGGGAATTGTCTGCTCGAGGCGTTCTACCTCCAAATTTCCGTAATGTTTTTGTTCACTTACGTCATTCAAATCTCTGCTTATTCACATGCTCACCGTTGCATTTCCTGACCAATCCATCAGTCAATCCCCTGAACTGATTTTTTTCAGATGGCATTATTTAATCCTAAAATCATATTTACTACCTTTTCTACTAGAATGTATGCCCTAGTAGTGGAAGAAGGAATTTTTCCTCTATTTTTTACTGTTTGATCCCTAACCTTTAGAATAATGTCTACTGTATGCCAGGCATTCAATCTATATTTAATAAGTAAATGAAAGGATGACAAATTAAAACTTACTCTTTAAATGTGTACTTGAAAGAGAAACATAAATTCATGGTGACAGTTTTTTTCTGAGGAAGAATCAGAGACAGAGAGAACCAGGGACCCAGATGGGAGAGGCGGTGACAGAGACAGTGAGCAAGACAGAGAGACAGAGAAAGAAAATGCTGAGTCGGCCAAAATGTTCATTGGGTTTTTCTGCAGCATCTTGCAGAAAAACCCAAACTTTTTGGCCACCCCAACATGTTCTCACAAGTTGTGGTTTGCCTTTTTTAAATTAATAAAATTAATAAATTAATTACTAAAATTAATAATAAAAATTAATAAAAGGGATCCAAAGCAGGCTATAACTCTGAGGCAAACATTTATTTTATCAAAAATCTAAGTTTTTAAAAATGATAAAATATTGACAGTTATTTATTTACCATTTATTCTAAATGGTAGCTACATAAGTATTTGTAGTATTATGCTCTATACCATTTGGAAGTTATAATAAATTCAAACTTGAAACACTTCAAGCATATAATTTAACTCAAAAATAACAAAAATTTATTGCTTACAGATTACCTCAGAGATTAATGAAAACACCCATATACATGAATAACAATAACAATAGTAAATAGACAATACAAAAGTGAGGAATTCTTAAAAAACAAAAATGCAACAAAAAGATGATAGTAACAAGAATATGTATTATATAAGATATAATGCATTATAATGTATAATATTATATTTATTTGCTTAATAAGAACATATTATAACTGGGAAAAAGAAATTGGAGGACTCATATGCCTCCAAATTTCAAAATTTACTGGATATCTACAGAAATTAAGGCAGTGAGACACTGGCATAAAATAGCCATTTAGATCACTGGAATAAAAATAAGAGCCCAGAAAAATCATTTTTACACTTAGTGTCCCTGGAGAATTATTTTTTTCAACAAATGGCGCTCAGACAACTGGGTATCTACACTTAAAAGAATGAGTTTAGACCTCTAGTTCATATCATATTCAATGATTAAGTTAAAATGGAGCACAGACCTAAATGCACGAGCTTAATTAGAATAATTTTGGAAGAAAATATCCAAGTAAATCTTCG